CAATTCCATGCATTGTATCATTGACTTGGTACATTCCCAGACATTTAACCGGCAAGGTAGTCAGCATCATCAGTGGGTCTTGCCACTCGTGGCACCAAGCTACAACTCTTCGAAGAGATAGGTGAAGTCAATCCCTTGACAAATTTTCTGCCGAAATACTATGGCAAAGGACTTCAAATAGGGTGCGTCAAACTAGGTAACCCTGGTAAAATGAATACTTTGTAAGAACGAGATCAGACTACTTCTAAACAAATATTGAATTTTAGCCTAACCTCTATCGAAAACTAAATTTTTTTGGGTGATTTTAGGATACTTGCCTAAATAGAACCTGAATATATAATTAAGTTTGTATTAATCTGATTCTGCTGCTGGCTATATAAACCAGCAGAAAATAAGCAAATGTCAAGCCATTCTCATGAACTAGTGGCCAGATTCGTTTAAGAATTTATTCTATTAGGACAAATATAATTTGGTTGAATTCGGTAGGCAGATTTGCACGCTTGGTTGCAATTACTTTTAAACAATCATGGGAAGTTCATCTATAAGGATTTAGAGTACGAATCAACTTACATGACCATTCGCTCTATTTAAGATTCCCTAATAGTTCCAATGAAATCATGACTTATTTCACCAAAATAACTAGGACTTAGTCTGCTGTGTAAAATTTGGATAAAAAATTGATCCGGCAAACTTTAAAAGCGAACAGATGATATAAAGTAGTTTGCCGCATACATATAGTCATCACATAGAATTTTATGCAAACGGGACCAATTAATGGTAGTCTTTTTTACCCTCCGGAGTCATCTCATCACAACGGATATCAGCAACGTGACGCTGCCCGCCAAAACTCATTCCCTTCTGGCTAGCCAGCTTGTTGGTGCCAGCCTGAAGACTAATGATACCATCACTTGCGCGTAGCTGTTGATCTGTCCACTGGCGTTTTTGTTGATAGGTTGGCTTCGGACCACAAAACTGACCTTGGAAACCATTTCGTTGACACTGAATGAAGGCAAGAGAAAGAAATGCTAAGATAAACTTATAGAAGTAATTTTGTCGGGAGTGTGAAAAGGGATGTAGAAAGAATATTAAAGGTCGAAGTCTAAATCAAATGTTAGGTTGTTGGATTATAATATAAAATGTACTTAATATTGCTAAGACTCGGGAACACTTAAGACTAAGCTATTAATCGGCAAAATTTTACCACCAAAACTAAAATGGTGAGAATTTTAATTCCAATAAATTATGGTAAAAGTTATGTGGTTCATGCATTGAACAATTAGCGCATACATTGATTTTGGCATTATGAGAAACAACACGATGAAACAATAAAGAAATATGTATCTATCATAGCCAAAATCCTGGATGTAGGTCAAGGAACATAATAACAATGTGGTCAACATTGAATAATGCTAAGGCAGAGCTGCCCAGAGGCCAAATTGTGGTTTCATTAGAAACATTAATTAAGTGATAGATATCGCTAACATTTCCATCCTATATTAGTATTCGCTCAATTGATCCAAAAATTGCACAATTATCTGATTAAGAAAATAGACTATCACATACTCGAATAATGTTTGTGGAGCCTCAGAAAGGCTCTATATTTATATGTAGACAAGTAAGTAGCTATTAATAATAGCGGAGCAGTCCGACTAGCTAGGCTAGCCTCTTAATACATTCACTGAACATTCTCAGACTCCACTCGAGCATGGCTAGGCAGACTCAAAAACAATAGTTGGTTCAGAAAGCCATAAACTAATCAAGAACAGAAATATGCGGGAGCCAAAATCTACATTTTTATTTCAAAAAAAGGCAAAGAAGTTAGAGTTTACTGATGGCTAATCATCTCATGTTAAGTCCAGAACCAATTTAGAGGTGTTGATGCGGCTTTAGGTTGCATGGGTATAAGTTTTATTACCAAATGAGGCTAACAACTTTATTGATAGCAGAATCGGTGGCTATTCAACCTAAGCACTTGCATTTTCTTGGCAACGCAAGGGTAAAAAGTGGAGATCCTGCAGCCATACCGAAAATCACTTCTGAAAAAGGAAAATCTAGCTAGAAGAAAAAAAGTTAGTCTAAAAGAGCATAATTCTTACCGGATTGCTTTATGAAAAATAAATATGAGCAGGGAAAATTTTCTAGTAAGCTGTTTTCACCCTATTTCGTTTAAGGTGATGAAGGACTGGTAGTTTAATTTTCCCACAATGATGTGAGTAGAGAGGATGTTTTCCTTGCCTTGTTTTCCCACAAGGTGTTCTCATCCCGAGTGGACTGAAGTTTCCACCTCGCATAGATCTTATCAAACCCCAAGCGGGAGTTGAATCATGGCAGTGTAGCGTGTAAGCTTGACACGTTAACCATTACGCCACATTGCCACGAGTGCAATTAGGTATAAGGGCAGATACTAATTTCAGGGAATGTCAGGCATTTTCTATATCACATTCCGTTTTGGGATTGTCGAAGACATTACTTTTTAGCTGAAACTAGGTTAGAAATATGCTAATTTGGGTATGGACACAATTTAGCAACGACTATCGTATTTGTGTGTAGCGACTCTAGAAAAAATCCAAGGTCTAATACAATATGGAGGCCGAAGCGACTTGGCTATCATTCAAGTTCTCCCGATAAAAATAGTGCATTACATAATGGCTGTATTCACTCTATCTCATTTAATGTGATGAAGGAATATTAGTTGAATTTTCCCACAATTATATGAATAAACCTTACATTTTTATTGAATTTAAAATAGCCTTGCTTTACCAAAAGGTATTCTTGTCCATACAGGAGTGAATTGCAGTTTTGATCTGGCCTGGGTCTCATCAGCACTCTCGGCGGGACTCAGACCATTATAGTGCAATGCATAATCTCGACACGTTAAACACTACGTCACGCGACCACGAATGCTTTTGGTTGAGAAAGAAGATGTAAATTTCAAGGAAGGCCAGGCATTTTCCCATATCACATTATGCGGTGGGATCGTCAATAAAACGAATTTGTATTTGCTGTAGAAATCACTTACATTAGTTATTTTTCGTTTCATAGGCGAAATTTTTGAGACTACCAGTGGATCTAATATAAGAGCTCTATTCACTCTATATCGTTTAACGTGAAAGTTGTCTCTTAAAATCTAGTTATGAAACGAAAAATAGTATGTGAGGCAACCCAAAGTGGACGTTTAAGCCATTATGAAAAGCTGAAATGTAAAGGCAATGCTAGATCTCACCTCTCAGACTACAGACAAATTAGTGGGAAAGATCAGGTAAACCACAATTCTGGTAAATAATAGTACTAAGGCTTGCCCAAGTAGCGTCGAAGATGAGAAACAGAAATCACAGTAAATGGAGGGAAAAGTAGAAGTGTTATTCAGCGCCAAGCAGCCTAAAAAGAATCTCCAACTATGGAATTTGCACAAAGAAATGTATCCACTGTGATCCTACAGGGTGCGAGTATAGCAATACCTGAAGCAATGACAGCCACACGAAGTCAGATCACTGACATTAAGTATAAATGGCAGGCGGCGTTAACTCTGTAAGGAGTAATGTATCAAGGAGTTGTGAAGAGATGCTGGCTCAAGAAATCAAGATGCTATACTAAGTGTGGTTGAATCACAAAGAATCACCAGATGCTGATTCTTTGCATGGTATCAGCATGGTTTCAGCATCGAAACATGCCATTTAGTAAAAAGAGAACAACTTGAAAACATATTTTGCCAACTACAGTAAAATTATCGTTAATGAGTAACTAAAAGTGTATAAAGAAAATAAATTATTTAATCTTTATGAGACTTAGCTACGGCCTATTATAAGATCGTTCCACTTAAAATTAAATTTGACGTTCAGATAATAATAAGATAGAAAGAGGACTATCCGGGCGGGCCAAGACATGAGCAAACAGAATATTCTGTGATTATTCGTATTTGGCTCCCGTATTGGTGAATAACTATATGGCAAGCCTAGGAGTGCATAGTTATCAATATAAGTAAACTAAAATGAAGACGATACTTTCCAGGCAAATAAACCACATTTGATTACTAAAAATTTGCCTTTGAGGCAAAATTATTTCCAAATTTACTGTAGTTAGAAGCTCGGTTTACGAAGTAGATGATTACTTTGTCGTTAAGAGACAGCATAATAATGTTGTAATCTCCCAATGAGTGGAAAGAATGGTGGGAGCAAGTTTATCATGTAGCTAAAGCAACACAACTTTCTCCTACTTCCTGACATTCCGATTATTAAGAGAGAGCAAGGGCCTGATAGGCACAAATATAGGATTAATTCGACCTTATTTTCGCGACTTGGTCGGAGCGTCAGGGAGACCTTGTGGAACGTGCCTAGTCCCGTGTCCTCTGCCATAGTATCCGTGATTTCCAGCATTGGACCAATGACTTGGTACATTCACAAGCAGAAGGCCACACCATTTTGGTCTTCATATCTACGAGTATAGGAAACCCATGTGCTAGGTTCCTACTAGTTTATTTCCATATGCTAAAGACAGGGGACTAAAAGTGAATATTAAAAATTCCTAAGAACGATAGGACTATGTCTAGTATAAATATTGCAATGGGATAAAATTAATGTCAGGAATTTCCTACTTTTCGAATTTACTTCATCGTGGAATTGAGCCTGATAGGCCTGATAAAAAAAAGACCCAAAAAATCGACTTTTCATTATAAGGAAAAATAAAAAATAGTCCTGAGATGGCTCTGCAGCTAAAGAAACAAAAAATGGTTAGATTAATAGAATAACTGAATAAATGCCCACAAGAATAGTTGATCTAATCCAAAAGCTTACTTTTCGCACAAACGACAAGGATAAAATCACGAGTAAGATTTGTAAGAAAACCCAAATAGCTTACTTCAGTTCCAAGCTGGAGAATCGTGGATAGGACCTGAGCCATATTTCTCGCTTCATAGAGGTCGACCGTCTGGAACAGGCTTTCCTTGGTGACGCCGTAGGCCTCTGCAGCATCGAGAAAGCATTGTATATTTTCCATCTGGATTGGAAAAATTATTCATTCGGAGGATTTATGAACGGAGGTATAAAGGAAGAAAAAGGGCAGTGTGATAAGTTAGGAGTAAATAAAAGAACTGGTATGATGCTTTTGACTAAGAAGGCCAGGCCGAATTAGAAAGAAAATATAATGGGAAGCATAGCATTGATGAGGCGCCCAATACGGAGATAAGGGAAGGCCTGAATTAAAAATAAAATAAACATGCCATGCATTAATCGAAGGTATGAAGATCAATATGGTGTGGCCTTTTGTGTGGCCGCAGTCTCCTTTTGTTATATAGAAGAAGCTTGACCCTATTTTCTCAACTTGGTCATATTGGTGGGAAGACTTAGAGGAACGCACCTAGTCAGGAGCCAATTGTATGCATGATCATTTCCAGAGCCGGACCGTGGGTGTGGTACATTCCAGGATAATTCGCCGGCATCGTCAGTAAACCTTGCCAATATTGGCACCAGACCAAAACTCTTCAAAGAGGCAAGTGAAGCCGATCCTTTGACCAATTGTCTGCAAACGATCGTGGTATCTTTCCTTCCATCCTGGGCTAATCACCAATCTCATATCCTCCTATCACACCTTCACTATCACAATTTTTACTTGCTTATTTCAATGTGGTATGGTGTGCCTTTTTGAGCGGCTTTCATGAGAGGACACCACATTTAATACTAGGCTTCTAACCCCCTTCACCCTAGTGTTGGGAATGCTGATCAGAGTCTGCTATATTGTTACGCAGTCCTTCTCTAGGTCTTATCAGAGTCTCCCTCTTGCCCATAGGATCGGTCTTCTATCTCCTTAGTTCAAGTATTTCACTCGATCCCTACCACCTTATTTCTGCTACTCGTGGCTTTATTTTCCACACTCTTCTTCT